TCAGTGTCGATGGTTAGTGGTGGATATTTACCTCGCCGCTTCGTGGCTCGGTAAATATCCACCACTGACCACCTCCCCTGTGGTGAATAGTTGTTAATTGTATCTAGGAAAATGTTAGTCTTCAAGTCATCGGTATTGTGGTAAAGTTTCTTGCTTTTCGTGTAAATTTGAAAAAATTCAATGTTTTGCCTTTGATAAAAGCTGGATTGTACCTGTTTATTACACTGAACTGATCATCTTTCCTCAGAATCAGGTTCACATGTTCATGGATCTCTTTCAAACAGATCCAGCTTCAGAAATAGATAGGCAATGGTATGTCCATTAAACAAAAATTCTTTTGTCCATAATCTATAATTATTTCAACAGGAGTAACTTAGGTTGGGAAACTTTTGACGTGTTCTCTATGGCATGTTATATTTATACGGTCTACTTGCTCCTGGACCGTACAGGGTTGTTGCTAATTGCTGGCAGCTTGCTAAATTCACCAGATGAAAAAGCAGCGATTGCCAGCTGGATTTTTGGCCAGCAATGGCCTGGTATAGCACCATGGGCCCTTTTGAGGTTACATACTAAAAATCATTCACCACTTTTGAGCTGCCTCACTCGAAATTTCAGGGGGTTCTTGTCATCTTGCTCTGGCATGTGTAAGAAAAAAAAATACAATTTCACATTATATTTTTATTTACAGTTTATCAGGGTGTGCTTATTAGGGTTTCATGTAAAGAAATAACACAAGCTGTCATAGTGTCTTCAACCAGAATATCGATCAGAAAAGGAATCTTCATTTTCCTCAAAGCTATTGGCTTTAAAATGTTATTTTTATTGGTCTAGCTAGGCTTCAAATACCTTCAGATTGGGTCTTGGCAGGTTATTTATTCACAATTTTTAGCAACAAGAATTATTTGTAATTAATAGTAATTTAATAAGATGACAATACAGTCATTGTTTTGACTCAACAGCTTGTGTACAGAGTTATCCCAATGGTTGATTGAGAACAAACTTGTGGAACATTTGTTTGGTCCAAATTTACATGTTGAGGTGATTCTTGATAAGTAGAGAAAATCACTTTTTTTGTGTGTTTGTGAATTGGCAAATAGCTCACGGATATTCTTTTATGGAGCTAAACATCTTGTAAGCAGCAAGTTTATTTCTCTTACCAGAGTGTCAATTATATTGGTATCCCCCCATATATGTCTAGTCATGTAGACATCCACTCAAGCAACCAGCTTGTATCTGCCTTCCTTGCCATTCCCCTGAAATTCATAATATTACTGAACTGCAGTTGTAAACCATGCAAGTAACTGTAATATCTGCCCTCTTCGATATGATATGATTGTAAAATTTATAATCTTTGTAACCTTCTCTGTTATGTTATGTGGCTATTAGATAAATTTAATTAAATTGTGAGTATGATCTAACTGTCAAAATGTCCTGTTTCTACACTTTGTAGCTTCTTAAACAGTCTCAGATCATATTGAATTATTTGGCCCGGGAGACATGCCTCACTACCTCTCATTTGGACTGCATCTGGCTTGCAGCACAGGTACATATTGTATATTGCATTTACAACATTCATGGTTACTAATCAAGTAGTTGGTGGAATTTCTTTTGTTTCCTCAACTTATGATCGGTTAATTCTGTTGAGATGACCTTGTTGGCATTAGGAGCACACTCCTACTGACTGACCTCTGCTTCAATTCAGCTCAAACATGCCAGCCGTTATGTTCATGACCTTTTGACGGTGCTAACAAAACACATGGATATGCCCTCCATCTTGTACCTGCTGGACCTGGTTTCAAAGCTGCCACCAGCAGCTCACACCAGACAGACCCTCTACCTTGCGCTCGTTCTAATCAGAATTGTCTGGAGAGCAGGCTTGTCTCCTGCTGTGGCAGAATCTGGTACAGCTGTGCACACAAACAGCCCTGTGCGTGGACCATTGACTGCAGGTAAGTAATTCAGTGGTCACTTGCTCATTAATTTTGTCATGCAGTTGTTCGAAGGTTTTACAACGCTATCCACTGAGTAAATCTCATCCGATGGATGGTGCAATACGTTTTGCAGTCCCTGGATAGCAATTTATCTGTTGGATTTGTGTTATCTGCCCTTCATACAACTAGGCCGAGGTTTGTTGTAAAGCAGGGCCTGATTGTTATTCACCAATAAGAGAGCTGTTATGAAGTTGTTAGGACTCAGAACTCAGAACTTTCCATCTGAAGTCCAGCACCTTTATCATAGAGTCACCTCATCTGCCACAGTGCAATGGAAAGGCAGTTATCTGGGGTTGGTGTCAGCAAGGCTCTGGATCAAATAAAGGCAAGCAGAGTGGAGCATGTTACAGGGGACATATTGTCCAAGGGAAGGGAAGCAGTGTGCAGGAAAAATCTCCCTTGCACAAAAGGACAGCTACCATATGGAGGATCTAAGAATCTGAAATCCACTTACAGCTGTACCTGTTGTGTGAGGCTTACAGCCTTAACAATATTACCAAGTAGACCTTTTGCATCGATAAGGGGTTAACATTTTATTCTTCAAATAAATTCCTAGGGAGCACTAGTGCAGCAGTAGCTTCAGCCATGCAGAGGAAGTTCAGTCGAACAGCAAGTCTCAGCCAAAGTAGCAGCAGGAGTGGCAGTCTGAGTGACATAAGTTGCGATGGCGAACAGCTTGATATGGAAGAATCACTGACCCATGGTCACCAAAAATATGCACGGTATGCAATCAGTCACGGCATTGGTTTTGCAATTTATTTTCATTTCCATGGAGGGTAGTTTCCCTTGGGTTTGAGTTAGGGCCAGGCATCAAGGGTCGTGGGAGGCTCCACGTTCAATTGGTTTTTGGTTTTTCATTATTCTTAATTTTTTTTTTTTTTGAATAGGTGATGTCTGAGTTCGTCATGGCTTTTTCTAGAGGTCTTAGATCTGATTTTTTTGCGTCTTAGCAGAAGGTCACTCCCCCCAAACTACCCATTCATCTTTGTCAATGGAAGATTGTATCACAACCCAAAAAAACTATTGTGCTTTGAGTATTTGCCCTTGACATTCATGTGGATGCAACCTTTATTGTTGTAAGCTACACTTTATTACAATTATATACACTCGAACCTTAGTTAGTCGAACTCACGAGGACTGGGATGAAAAGTCCAGATAAGCGAGAGTTTGGATAATTGAAAAAAAAAAACCAATACATTGCAGAGCCTAAAGTAAAACTGAATGCACAATCGTTGTACATCTTTGTTGACAATTGCCAAAAGTAGATACTAAGAGTTTTTTAAGCTAACCACCAATATTAAATATCGACGATGAGAAATAAATGCTGATGTGAATTAGTTTGTTTCAAGTGCACGTCGCTGAATCTATCATTCTTTGAGGCTGCATCAGTGGAATAGCGTCGACTTTGCTTTGTTTTTCCGTCGGTGTTAAACACTTCCTAAAACATTCAGCAGCTTCAGAAAGTGGAACAAATCCAGTCCCAGCGGAGCATTCATTACCTGTGCTTTGTTTAATGGAAAAAAAAAAGTTGTTACGTATCTCAAATCTGAAAAATCATTATTCAGAATGAATGGGACCAGAGAGGCAAGTCCGAATAATTAATAATTAATGATTAATAATTAACGATTAATGATTAATAATTAACGATTAATAATTAACTATTAATGATTAATAATTAACGATTGATGATTAATAATTAATGTGTGATCGAAAATGCGGATAATCGAGGTTTGACTGAATTTTTCTGTCCAAGGCTTTCCTCCAAGGGGAGTGCTGACATGGAAACAGAGGAGATCCCTCCCCCCCCTGACCTCAGGCAGTCTTATGCGGGCCAAGCTGAAGATTATTCTAGCCAAGAAAAGACAGGTGGGGAAGACGCAGACATCGATAGCACCAGTTGCACAAACAGCCGAGGTAGCTCTCTCTCAGATAGGCGTGACCTGGATGATTTTGATGCGGAGGGCGTCCAAGATGAACTGACAAAGCTCAAGACAGTTGCAGCTCTGCGTGTTATGCACGATGGAGGGGAGGAGCGGCAGAGGAGCTTAGGATTTGATTTGAACACAGTGTGTGAGCAAGGAAAGACACTACTTTGGGATCTTATTCAAGATGATAATGCTGTAAGTATTAATCCTACTTGTTAAGTAGAGAATAATACATGGGCGCGCGTAGATAGATTTTTTATATCGCGTATAGGTCGAGTGTTTAATTTGACATCTCACGAATGAGATATCGTGTCGAATACGAGGAGAGAAATTCCATATCTACAGGCAACTATGTATTATTTTATTATTATTATAATTATTATTGTTATTATTATTATTATTATTATTATTATTATTATTATTATATAAACACCATAGGTCTTTGCTGATAAGAAAAGTCGACTTTATGAATGGTGAACGCTTTACCATTCATTCATCACTCATTGGCGATATCAAACACATTTCCACCATCTTTGATTTATTCTTACTTTTACTTAAGTAACCTATTTATTCAAGTTGATACTGCATACCAAGTGAATTGCCAGCTCAATTATTGACAAGACTTCCAATGAGAACAATTTTTTGAGAACAAGTTTAAGAAGAACTTGTTTCTTCTAAAGCTGTTGAAATTAAACTTAATTTCCCTCAAGTGTGAACGCAGTCTTAGTTTGTAGTCGAACTTGGTCTAGTCACGTCCGAATCGATTAAATACCACACAACTTTAAGAACATGTTAGGAACGTTTTCGGGCTCAAATCGCTAAGAAAATAAGAACGTTTAGCATCAGCACCAAAATTAGACCTTCATATAAAAAGAAGAGTGTACTAAAAAGTTAACATTGATTGTGTTTAGATACACCTTTCTGATGGTTTGGTTCAAGAGGCAGAAAAGCTTCTTTGTCAGTTGATCTGTTACACTGGTGAGAAAAAGATCAGGATGAAGTTTATTGAGGGTTGTGTGGCTAATTTGGCTGCTAACAGGTACACCTAGTTGATTATTTGTGTAAAACTTGAGATGTCTTCCTGTGTTTTGAAAATTGTTTGTATTTTCCCCTTTACACGGGACATCAGTATGCAAGCTCTCCCTGCTGATCTCTTGACGTTTCTGTGGTACTTGCAAGGAGAATTTGTGTAACAATCAAGAGCCTATCGAGTTTGCGATTATATCGTAAGCCGTTATTCTCAGGACTCAATTGTTTGATTCGGGGGTGTCAATGATGGGAGAAATCGGATGCCTATCCTAATACCTAATACTAGGTTTTACGATCCAACTACACTTTCTTTGAGTACAAATAACGCCATAGATGAGTACAAATATCACGCGGTATTCAGTGTAATCCAGAGAACCGATTAAACAGGTTTTTTCGCATCGCGCAAGCGAAGAATTGGTTTGAAATTACGAAAAATAAAATGACGGACAATTTGAATCAGATTTCTGACGACGAAGAGTCGGAATGGCTTGCCAATATAGATCCAAGTTTATTAGATGAATCGAACGAAGAAAAATTGCCAGACGACCGGGAAATTTCTTCATTTATTGCAGAAAATAGAAACAGCAACACGATAACGCGCCAATTCCGTTCCGCTACGCATACTTCTGTCACGCAATCCCGTAAATAATTATCCGCCAAATTCGCCCGCACTGAAATAACAGGGTTCCTATTTTTCCTATTTTTTGGCCTTCCTCCTATTTTCTCCTATTTTTTTCATGAAATTCCTAGTTTTTCCTATTTTTTTAGGGTTTTACTAGGTACACAGAAACATTTTGAAATATTTGAAATAAAATTGCAAATAAAATTGATAAATTCTACTAGAAACTGAAACTTCATGTCAAAAAAGACCAATTTGAAGCCTTTATGAGTGGTTTTCTTCTGAAACTAGTGCCCAGACTTTCTCAGTGCTTTTGATAACATGCAAGGGATTCTGGGAAGTTCACTTGCATGTATGTGCATTTACAATCTTGAAGTGGGGCTACAATGCATTATGGATGTATGTCATGGTACCTACTAAATATTAAAGCGTTGGGTTGTGGAACAGTTTCTTTTGGGAGTGTTAAGAGGATAGAACTCAAAGAAATCCTCCTATTTTTTTCCTATTTTTTTCCTATTTTGGGGTGAGAATTCCTATTTATTACCAATTTTTTGGCCACTGTCGTTCCTATTATCCTATTTTCTAAGTGTCATTTGTCACTTGACACCCTGAAATAACAATTTGGCGTGTTGATTAATAAATAACTTATGAGACGTTTTGTTGTGTAGTATCGCTGAGTATTTTTACTCGTTATTTGTATTTTGACTCACCCTACGGGCTCGTCAAAATACGGCACAACTCTTAAAAATACTCAGCGATCCAATAAGGTATGTTTATGTAAATGGTTGGCATGTTCTTTTGGTGAACCTAAGTGTTTTAAATTGACAACATTGTTGACTTTTTAAATTTCCCCAGGTCTGTTGTGATGTCCATTCAGTTGTTACCCAAATTGTTCAGCTCGTTCCAGCAGTTTGTATCCAGTGATCAAGGGCCTCATTGGGTGACCACATGGGCTAGCAGAGAACTGAACATGATGGAGCTCTTTTTTAACAACATAATTCAATATGAAGAAAGTGTCGCCAGGGGTGACAACACTAACGCGTCGTTGTACAGCTCAGTGGAAGAAGTGCAAGCTAGATTGCAGTTTCTGTCATCTGTGTTCTCTTGTGAGCTGTCTCCCCAGGATTTCAGTAAGCTTGAAATGTCTTCCTTTTACACTGAATTATTATGGCATATATCAACTGACTTGATGATGTAAATAAGCCACCGCAAAGAGTTTCAAAGCTGACGTACGAACATTAGCCCTTGGTCAGACGCTCAAAACGTCAGCTTGCAGACTCTTTACGGTGGCCAGTTTACATCACCAAGTCAGCTGATAAAACCAAAATGATCTTGTTATACTTCCCCACCGACACAGCAGCACAGTTTCTTTAGGAACGTACTACCTTTATTATGGCACATGGCCAAGCTGTAATTTTATAATTAGGGTTTGTACAGTGGTTGTAATCATAAATCTATTAGAGCTTTTGTCGGCACTTCTCAGTTTCTTTTCCAATGATTTGTTTGTTGGTTTCTTTGTTAGTTCTGCAAGAAGTTGTTGTCATTTCCATCCTTTTGGTCTCTTCACTGTGCTTTATTATAAAATCGTGACAGGACAAAAATTGAATCTAAAGTTTAGTACATAGCTGACGAGATATCTTGAAACCGATGTTTCCCATCTAGCCGAATGTTTCCATCTCACGAAGATACCAGGAGCATGGTTACCCGTGCTCCCCCCAGGACGGGATGGCATTTACTTATGCAGTGTAGATTAAAACCCCCATCCCCTCTCCCCCAGCATCTTTTATGAGCTCCTGGAGGTAGTCATAGATACAGTGAGAGTAGAGTACCACTACCTTTCTATGTCAACAATAAAGCAGAATTACCTGCTTAGGGCTTCAAACCAGAAATCTCATCACAGAGTCCAGACCCCAGTTGTTCAAAGGGCGTACAATGCAATCCCGCGGATAAATCGCTATCCCGCGAATAAATCGCTATCCCGCGGATAAATCGCTATCCAGCGGATGAGCGTCAACGAATCGCACTATGCTATGCATTGGATAGAGATTTATCGAACGGATAATATTCTTATCCATCCTTCAAACAACTGAGCTCAGCACGCCTATCATGGAGGCAGCATTTTTTCTACGAGCATTTGAATGAAGGAATGTTCTCTTACTCTTTTTTTTTTTTTAGGGTTGAGTGCTGGTCAAGTGGATGTGTTGTGGGATTGTCTGGTGTGCGATTCAGACAGTTCTGATGATACACTGGAGTGGTTTTTGCAGCAGGCACAAAGTAAAGAGTTTCATGCCCTGGATGTTTCTGCTCTGCAGTACATTTTGGCTAAGAAGGTAACTACCTGTACTCTGATATAATTATTACAAAAAAAAGTTGAGCATGTAAAGATGAAACAATTTTAATGTAATAGAAAAATCCGAGCCCCAGATGGGACTTGAACCCACGACCCTCCGTGATCTAGAGAAAAAAATTGTTTGTTGTATGAGGGATCTGCAGCACTAATGAAACTGGAATGCCAATCTTTCCCAGCTACCTTCTCTACCAGCTGAGAAGTTTTCCATGACAGGCCTCCACCTTCTGCAGCAACTCTACAAGATGTTCAAACATGCAGACGTAAAACCTTGCGATCCGACAAAGGTATAATGTTTTACGCGTGAGGTCATTTAAGCATGAAACACCGTTAGTGTGTTACTATCATTTTTGACAGTTTTCAGTAATTTGCTCTCTTCCTACGAAAAGTGAAAACGAACTATTTTATCCCAGAGGCGTGAGATAACGAAGGGGCTTACGCATACACAGTAATAATGATAGTTCGTGAGGTTATTGTCAAAAACATCACACTAGGTTCGAGCGAAGTTTCGCTGCATCGGCAACGATGCACGCTGTAATGATTTTTAACCTGTGAATATGATGTAAAAAGCTTCATGTCGAGTGAAAAATTAGGTGGGCGAAAATTATTTTTTATTTCTTCGTGTCATTCGTCTCAAAACTCGACTCGCGTCGAGCCTCGATCCCCAAAGTTTGCGAGAATCGAGTTTCAAGGGACTGTCAAAGTACTTTTGGTCAGTATTGTACAGTAGCATGGTAACGTATGTTCTTGTACATTCTAAAAGTTTCCGATTCTTATTTCTAAATATGTCAAAAGTAAAAATACCTGAAGTGTTCCTCATTTTTTGGATGAATATTGATGTCCCTTTTAGTTGTGTGGTATAGACCAGTTGTGGAATATAGCTGTGCAAGCAAAGTCCTCAGAGGTTAGCTGGGCTGCTATTACATATCTGAATTCACTGTACATAAATGGTAAGCCTGTCTTCTTTTTCTTCCGATACTTGTAAAGGTGGAGTGTTAGATATTTGTGTTTTAAGTTGAACATTACACGTGAGAATTGATATATTTTCTTCCACAAACACTGAGAAGAGGGAAGGCTTTGCTTTATCAGAAAATGAAGAGCTCAGAATTTCTCCTGGGTAAACACTTTTTCCTCCTTATGGTAACCTTTGATGAACAGGGATCTTATCTCAACGTCCAAGGTTGACTGTCCAAGGTTGACTGTGGGTATCAATTCATTAGAAGTTACAGTTAATATTACCGTTACTGGGTAAACATACAGTGATGGGAAAAGGTTGACTTGGAGAAGTGTAGGAAGTGACAGTACCACCTGAAACCATGTAAACATAGTCTGCGGGTTTCGTTCGGGGCATGTATTGCACGCGTTTTGCCCTTCCGATGAGCGAACGAAAAGCCAGACGAAACCGAAGACAAACGACTGCAAGTTCTTTCCTAATTCCCTTTCCTTTATCCATTGTCATGATTTGTTTTGTCGAGATTAAAAGCAAATTGTGAGAAACAGAAATTGTAGGCTTACGTTCGTGAACCGTGCAGGTACAACCGCGTTATGCCCGTGCCGATTTCCCATCGGTTTCAGGCGGCACTGCATGTATTTTTAAAGAAAGCTATTTAGAGTTTGAAGTGAGTTATGAAGGAATTTACAGTAACCTAGCAGGTATTTTTAATTAATGGATATTTGTTTTAATACTCATTACTTCAGCAAATGGTGGTGCTTTGAAGTTCGAAGACGAGTTTATTCAGAGGTGTATGAATATCATTGGGGGAGCTTCAAAGCAGTTGAACCAGGTGGAGTAGCTTTTATTCTATTTGTTCATTCATTTCTTAACTTGTTCAAAAGTTTTAATGGTGATGGATATGCTTAAATTTTCATTACAGGAACAGAACCTTCAGATAATGGAGAGGGGAATGCTTTTATTAAAGAGTCACATTGAGAGCTTTAAACGAAGGTTTGTTTGTCAGAGGAGTAGCGGTTGAATCTTTAACTGTACTGGTTGTAATTGAAAACTTTTTTCTCCTTAAATTAACGGAAGGTTTTTTTTTTTAATATATTTATCTGACAGTCGAATAATTTGAATGTCCACTTACATATCTACTTCGTTATCCTGCATGCGAAACACAACAGAGAATTGTAATTTAAATTTAACCAAACTGCCTAAAGCGCGGGAAAGCGTGGGCGACCAAATCGGAATTGGTTTAAGTTTTGCATCCAATTGGATGCGAGAGTGGCGCGAGTTTTCTGGACCAATCACAGAGCGAAGTAAGGCAAAACCAATGCAATTCCGGATTACTTTCGATAGTCATTTGAAAACTGCTTTGATTAAAAGGTGCTTAAAGCGTAATGGTTTTCATTGGCGAGGTACAAAGAAATACCCAATGCCTTTACAAGACTTTTAACTCCAGCCGCTTTTGATGTATCGGTTGGATAACTGTATTGAGCGTTGTTTGCTTTTTCTTCTTTTTTTTTTCTCATTTTACACAATATTTTATTTTTGTAGGTTCGCATTTCATTTGCGTTTGTGGTGGCTGGAAGGAAGAGGTATCACTTGCCATCAGCAGATCACTCAGAGGCCCACAGAGAAGCACTATCCTATCCGAGTTCTTTGTCAACCCGCTGGCCTCTCAGACAAGGTAATTCACCGGACACACGTACGGCGTTAGGTTTTGAGTGGAAATAGACAGCTGAGGAGGATCCATACTACACTTTATTACACGACTCGGGCACTCAGAGGGCCAATAACTAAAATCAACCAATCAAAATGCTATATTGCCGGTCAATATTCTCTCAGTATTGGACCGGGCACTGTCCCGAATGGTCCCGAATGATACCGCACTTGTGTCCCTTTGAACTTCAGTCGTATAATAAATCTCTTATTAACCAAGCTTGCTCGGGACCGTACTGGAAGAATATCGGCCCTCGGTCTTTTTTGTACGGACCTCGCTGCGCTCGGTCCGTACTGTCAAGACCTCGGGCCGATATTCTCCCAGTACGGCCCTCGCGCTTGGTTAATAAGATATATGTAGT